AATCCTAATACAAATGGCAGTGACTCCTTGCATCGCGCATTACTATAATGCAAAAGAAATGCACTATGCAAAGAAAGCTACAGAACTGGCGGGAAAAGCTCCTGCACACGGGTTCTCTGTTGCAGCAGAACACTCCACCGTGCAAAAGAGCTGCAATTTGGCGGGAACATGATTTAGCGATGCCGAAGCACACTCAAATATAAAAACCACAACTTTGGGTTGTGACAGTTTGAAGGCCAGGAAGAGAAAGTTGGGAATACTTCCCTCATGGTCTGAGCTGAATGGGGTGAGGTGACAGTAAAATTGTTCCAAAATAATGGTTAATAAAGCATATTATGGAAACTGGTGCACTTAAGATTAATTAAAAAAAAATTATTATAATGTTACGGATGTATGATCGTAAGTCCTTATTTGGCAGATGTGCGTGCAACTTAATATATTTTCCTGAATTCAGTGCCACTGCTTACATGCTTAAAATGTTACTGGTAAGTATTTGCAGGATCAGACCCTTAATTACAGGGAATTGTTAATATTCTACTAGTCAAGAATGGTATGCCATTTAATACAGTGTAATATGATCCACCATATAATACTGCTTTTCCTTTCTCAGGAACAAGGGAGGAGTGGTGAAAAGAAGTGATGAAAAACCAGTTTGGGTGGGACTTACAGGCATATCTATTATTATTATTATTATTAGTAGTAGTATTAGTATTATTATTATTATTATTATGCAGAGACATGGCTTTTTTATTTTGAAGTAAATCTCTAGTTATGGTTGCAAAGAAAATCTTCAGTGCATGAAGTAGTCTGACTAATGCAAAGATATTTCCTGGGTTTATGGTATACCTGAAACAGTAGCTTTGAGGTGTAAATTGCTTCACTCATTTCAGAGGAGACATTTAGATATCAATGCCGATATCCTGAATATCGATAATTAGGGACCTATTTGAATTGTGATTTCACAGTTTTTACAGAAACTACTAAAAACGGTGGTTTCCACGATCGTCACCAAAAATGGCATTGGCTATGATTTCCCAGGAAGTCAACCAAAAAAAACCCCAACCCTTAATAAAAATTAAATGCTGGCTTCCCAATGGGAGCCAGCATTTCTCACTGCCTCTGTAGTCCAGCCTCACAGCCTGCCTGGGAGGGATAGGGGCCTTCTGGTGGGGTGGCACAAATGTTGGCTGGGGGGGCAGCTGCCCCCTTATGCCTCTGCCAATCATTGATGAGGGGTGGGGCTGCACAAAGGGCATCCAGGAGTCAAGATGGTGGCCACTCCCTTCCCCCTTCTCCTCCCAGGGCCTGTCTACCAATCAGCACCAAGGGCTGGGGCCACCACAGAATAACCGTGAAATCAGCTCTTCAGGCTGTGACCAAGCCATGAAAATTGGTTTCTCTTGGTGTGAGTTAGATAGGTCCCTATCAATAATGTCTACTATTCCATTCTTTGCCAATGGAGGTAAGAAAGGAAAGGGAATATTTTTGTCATTAAGATCAATAGCAGTATATTCCAAAGTAGGAATAAAACAAAAAGCTAATCAGTGGACATAGGAGATTGCCTAAGGTAATTTTGGAACCATTGGCTATCGTCTTTGAGAACCCATGGAGGTTTGGTGATGCCCTAGATGACAGGAAAAAGGCAAATATAGTGCCCATCTTTAAGAAAGAGAAAAAGTAGGATCCAAAGAATTATAGATCAGTCAGCCTGATCTCAATACCTGGAAAGATTGTGGAGCAGGTCCTCAAGGAATCCATTGTGGAGCACCTAGAAGAGAACAATATAATCAGGAACAGCCAGCATGGATTCACCAAGAGCAAGTCATGCATGCCTGACCAAACTGATTTCCTTCTATGATAAAGTGACAAGCTCCGTGGATGAGAGGGAGAGCAGTGGATGTGATGAAAGCCTTGCTAAAGTCAGGGTATGGCACTGTCTTCCACAAGGTTCTCATTAACAAGGCTCAGGAAGTATATTTAGTACTTTAAGGTGGATACATAACTAGTTGGGTCATCATACTCAGCAACTAGCCCTCAATGACTCAATGTGTAGTTCGCAGGAGATATAAAGTGGGGTTCCCCAGGGTCTGTTCTGGGTCCGATGTTGTTTAAAATCTTCATTAATGATTTGAATGATGGGATTGAATGTAAGCGTAGCAAATTTTTGGATGGCACCAAGCTGTGTGGAATTGCAGACACTCTCAAGAGTAGGGCTAGGATCTAGAATGACCTCTATTGGAGAAATGGTCCATAGTCAATCAGATGAGATAAGTGCTGTGCTTGGGCTGGGGAATGACTGGCTAGGTTGTAGTATTGCAGAGAAGGACCTAAGGGTTATGGTGGACCATAAGCTGAATATGAGCCTATCATGTGCTCTTGTTACAAAAATGGCCAACAGCATCCTGAGTTGTAATTACAGGAGTGTCACTTACAAATCAGGGGAAGTGATTCTTTTACTCTGTTCAGCACTGGTGAGGCTCACCTGTAGTTCTGTGTCCAGTTTTGTGCCTCACACTTCAAGAAGGATGTGGACAGTTTGGAAAGAGTCCAGTGCTGAGTAACAACAATAATCAAGGGCCTGGGAGTCAAAGGGAAAAGGCTGAAAGAATTAGGATTATTTAGTCTGGAGAAAAGAAGATTGAGGAGGGATATGATAAGAGTCTTTAAATACCTGAAGGGTGATTATAGAGGGGATGGAGATGGACTTTTCTCTGTGAGCATAGTAGACATGATTAGGAGGAACAGCCTTAAACTATAGCATGGGAAATTTAGGCAGGAGATTAAGGAAGAGCTTTCTGACTATGAGGGTGGTCAAGCATTGGAACAGGCTAACCAGGAATATGCATGCTTGGCAACTTTCAAAAGCAGATTAGACAGACACTTGGCTGGGATTATTTAATAAGGGATGCACTGGTCTAGAGCAGGAGGCTGGACTAGATGACCTTGTGAGATCCCTTCTATCTCTGCTTTCCTGTGATCCTGTATATTACCACATTTACTTGAATATAAGGCAAGTTTTTTTCCCCTCCAGTTAGGGGAAAAAAAGCCCATCTCCTATTTGCATATGAAGCAGAGGAGGTAACAGGCAGCTGCTGTGGCTCTGACTCTGGCACTGACCCAGGGCACTGAGAGCCTGGAAAAACACACACACACACACACACACACGAGAATTATAACAAATTTATGAATTTTCCATAAATGGAATTAATTATTGAGGGCTCATCTTATATTCAGGGTCATTTTATATTCAAGTAAGTATGGTATGTTTTAAGGTAGCTAGGTCTTTAACCAGGTATAGCTCAACTGCAGGAGGTTGTAACTGGTTTTATTTTCCTGAAACTGGGCTTAGCTTTCAAAGCTTTAGAAATGTGTCTACTGCACGAGTGAGAATATCTATATGTTTTAGTGGGGGGGGTGTGTGTGTTTCAAATGTCTTTTATAAGGTCTGCATCTGCATTAGTGACCTGTTCCTAGGATGAGTACTAAGGAAACTGTGCCACCACTGCTGTAAATCAGATTTTTCTAAATAGAAATTAGAGTTCAGAGATTTCAGCTGAAGGGGTAATAGTTCCTGTCACTGTTGCTTCATGGAAAATTCATCATGTCAGATACAGATCATAACCTATGTTGAAAGAGCAGTCTGAAGAAATGCAAGATATTTATGTGGTGAACTTCTATGATGAATTTTTATCTGAAATTCATTAATTAATATCCTGATTTAAAGATAAGGAATTAGTGCTGCAAGTACGTGAAAGGGCGCTGACAGAAGTGATTTGTTGTGCAATCAGTCCCTTGAAAGCCCTCTATAGCTGTGTCCTGACAGAAGTGCACAGATGCAGAACGCTTTAAAAGTGTCTAGTTGTGGGACAAATTAACCCTTATTTAATGAGGGTTCAGATGAAGGTGCTTCAAAGCAGAGCACCTTCATTAATTTCTATTCAGCCCTGTGTGCAAGCTGGGTAGATCTCCCCTCCAAATAACCCGTCCTGCCACTGTAGTGCAGGCTGGGCAAACCCTAGATGGAGGTCCCTTCCCTTTCCCCCCCTCATCCTGAAGACAGCACTGGAGTGGGGGAAGAAGGGAGGGGGGCTATGGAAAAGACAGGCAGAAGTGGTGCTAATGAACTGTGAGTACTCCATAGCAGCTTGATCTTTTTTTCTTAAACAATTATGGGACTGCTGACTGTGTGGCTACACAATACATGTATTTCCAATTTACAAATCATTTCTGAGTGTGTGCATTTCTGAGATGTTCATATTTCTCAGTGCAAAGGAGCTGCAGCTAGTTGAAAGCTAAGCAAAAATATAATAAACACTATATATAATCTGTGAATTATTGAATGTGAGTACTTGACTTGCTACCCCTATGCTTTCAGAGTTCAGACCTTAACATTGTTTGAAATATAAAGGAGATAAAATAATATTTATTTTCCTCTCCTTTCCCAGTAATTAACAGATGCGGGTGAAAGATCCATCAAGGGCTAACCCTGAGAAAACCAAGAGAAACAAAAGGCCTAATAAGCCACAGGATGAAGACTCTTCAGATGACATTGCAGGTAAATTATGCAATATTTGTGTAATATTTGACCATCAAACCAAAGGATAGAAAATAATGTCCATATGCTTTTGATTAGTCAGCAAAGCAGGAGATGCATGTGGAAACAGTGAAGTGTTGGTCAGATTTAGTAACAGAGATGGTTACAAACAAATATCCCTGGCTTGCTGAGTTGTCATTGTACTGTGCTTGGTAAATTGGTGCAAATACTAATGAACATGAGGCTGTATTCATGGTTAAAGGAAATACTTGTTGTAAAGGTAGAGGTGCAGTAAATTAGACTATGAGGCCTTCTTTAAGGTAGGAGAGGTTGGGCATGCTGCTGTTGACGTCAACAAAACTAAATTTTAGGTAATGTTAACAGTCTTGACATGGTTGCTAAATATATTTGTTCTTAGATGTATCATTTTATGGTGGTGTTACATTCTTGATTTTGGGGTCTTTATTAGTTGGGAGAGTGGCTAATTGTTAGAGGGAACAATAACATCCTTCAGAAGCATGTACAAATAGATGCCATTTTTTGGATCTAATTTATCTTACCCTTCAAAAATACCATAGTTTGTAAGGCATAGTTTATGTAACTATAAAATATATTAGCTTGCTGGTAACTAGCATTTTTTTTTAATGTTGATGGCAGGCAGCAGTTTTTTTTTTATCAGTCAGTTCTAATAGTTGCCTGCCTGCCTGCCTGCAGAGTAATATTTGTATTCAGCTTTTGAGCTGAGCAGGGATCTATGAGTGCAGCTTCTGAAAGCATTCAAGGTGTATCTAGATGCTTGGTATAGTTTCTGAGTAAATGCATTTTACAATGCATCATTTTACAGTGATCACTGATCCACAGAAAAGAGTGTATAAAGTATGAATATTGTGCTTTTAAAGCCCTTGAAACCTTGCCAATATACTTAGATGTCAGAAACTGGCCTTTTAAAGTAAGTAAGTAAATAAATAAATATTGCTTTTAATAGCATGGCTAATGCACTTTTATCTCTTATTTTGTAGGCTTAACCTGCCAACATGTAAGTCAAGCAGTGGATGTACATCTTGTAAAGCGGGCAGTAGCTCAGAATGTTTGGTCAATATGTTCAGAATGTTTGAAGGAAAGACGAATAAGCGACGGAGAACTAGTAATGCCTTCTGATATATGGCTGTGCCTCAAATGTGGTTCTCAGGTAAGCAAACCTGCATTGTAAATTTACAGCGAGATGCAGATCTTTATCACATGAGAAGGTACGCTAGTGCAAATCCTTATTCTGCACAGAGCTTTATTGGCTTTAGTGGAAATAAATATATATTAAGCCTTTAATTGGGGATCCATGTGTTTTGGGGGATTTTTGTCTTTAAATTCCTTTATGGAACTGGGATCAAGAATTCTTGATTTTATGATGCCTTGTTTTTCTCTTAGTATTGTCACTGAAGATCCCCTCTGTATTAGAATTTAAAATGCTTTGGACAGTTCTGGCTTTTGGAGGCTGTGAGGATTTATCCTTGATCTATGGAAACTTTCCGTGCAGAACTTTAAAGGAGGACTACCTGCCACCTCACCTTCCAGTGTATGCTCTATTCCAGGGGTGGGCAAAATGCGGCCTGGGGGCTGGATGCGGCCCGCCAGGTCATTCTATCCGGTCTGTGGGGCCCCTAAAACATTTAGAAAATTAATATTAATCTGCCCTGAGCTGCCTGTCATGCAGCGTCAATGGCTTGCTGAAACTCAGTAAGCAGCCCTCTGCCTAAAATAATTGTCCGCCCCTGCTCTATTCCTTCCAAATGTTGGAGCAACAGTTCAGAACTTCTGATCCCCGACCTTTAATTTGCTGATTTTTTTTTTCTCTACCTTCCCCCTCCACTCCCCATAATAGAGAGAGTTTATTTTGTACGAATTGGGAGGTAGCTTTGCCATAGTTTTTCTTTCTTCTTCCACTCCTAATAATAACAATAATAGTAAAGATCTCCTGGTTGGAAGCTTCAATACCATGAACTGGCTTTCCTGATAAATGAATAAACCATCATAATGTTTGCCTTGCCTCTCTCCCTTGCTTGTGGAGAAAGTCCTTACAACTGTTGAAGCAGACTTAGAACAAGTTCTGAACCCTGTCCCTTGCTTGTAAAGTGCATGAAAACTTATTTTGAAACAGCCAGGTAGCTTGGAGGGAGGTTGCATACTTAGCTTTTGCCAACAGCTGCCCAGCCATTATTTTTAGTAAGGCATTCCACAATTCTCTTAGACCTCTCATAAATTACATCACCAGGATGAGGAGAACTGATTTCTTCCTAACATTTATGTAAATGGATTCCATTTCTTAGAGAAGAAAACTATTAGTAGTGGACTCCATGACTTATCTTCATTAATTCTTATAGTTAAAATATGTAGAATTGTGAGCAAGGGGCACGTCTACATTTAATCAAACATATGCACTTGATCTGGCTGCAAATTTTCATAGTTTTCATAGACATTAGGGCTGGAAGGGACCTCAGAAGATCATCAAGTCCAGCCCCCTGCCCCAGGGGCAGGTAGTCAGCTGGGGTCACAGGATCCCAGCAAGATAAACATCCAATTTTCTCTCAAAGGCGTTCAGAGAAGGTGCTTAAACCACCTGTGATGGCAGGCTATTCCAGACGTTGGGGGCCCGGACAGTAAAGAAATTCTTCCTTATGTCCAGCCTGAAACGGTCTTGCAGGAATTTATAACCATTCGACCTTGTTGTCCTTTGGGGGGCTCTGGTGAACAAACATTCCCCCAGATCCTGGTGAACACCCCTGATAAACTTATAGGTGGCCATCAGATTGCCCCTGAGCCTGTGCTGAGCCTGAGTCCCATAGCTCTCAGCCTGTCATCGTAAGGTCTGTTTTCCTGACCTGTGATCATGTGCTGGCTCTTCTCTGGACTCTCTCAAGCTTCTCCACATCCTTTTTGAATTGTGGAGCCCAAAACTGGACGCAGTACTCCATCTGCGCTTTCACCAAGGCCTAGTACAATGGGAGAATGCCATCCTGGGATTTGCTTGAGTAGCATCTATGGATGTAAGCCAGCGTTTTGCTCACTTTACTAGCTGCAGCATCGCATTGAAGGCTCATGTTTATCTTGTGGTCAGTCATGACCCCCAAGTCCTTTTCATCCGTAGCGCTAGTCTAGCACTGCCGAACTTATAAGGATACTGCAGGTTTTTCCTCCCAGGGTGGAGAACCTTGCATTTTTCAGTGTTAAACACCATCAGGTTCTCGTCCGCCCATTTGCTGAGCCTGTCTAGGTCAGCCTGGATCGCCCTCCTGTCCTCAGGTGTGGATGCTTTACCCCAGAGTTTGGTATCATTGGTGAACTTAGCCAGTCCACTTCTGACTCCAGTGTCCACATCATTAAGGAAGATATTGAACAATATAGGCGCAAGGACAGAGCCTTGAGGAACCCCACTGGTCACAGGGCACCATGACAATTGACTTCCGTCAGCCACCACCCTCTGGGTCTGATCACGGAGCCAATTTGATGTTGCAGTTCAGAGAACAACTCACATGTCTGCTCAGTTAATCTTTGATGCTGCAACGCTTTCCCCACAAGTGGGAATCTGTACTGACAGTGTTGAAGTTGTTCACCTGTACTCTTCCCTGAGTAACTTGTCAGTACACAAAGACATTTTTCTACCTTTGTAGCTTAGACTCTGAAAAGTGAGGCTGATTCTGGAGAAACAGAAGGCATGGGGGATACATGTGGGGCTGAGCAGCTGTGCATAACTTTTCATGGAACATTCTGGGGGCCAAGAGAAGTCCACATGCCTTCTGAAGTCAAAGCTCGGCAATGAGCTCTGGGCTTTGTGAATAGCACAGATGCTTCCCATGATGGTTTTACTTTTTTGTACCAACAAGGTACTTTTTATATACCAGTCGCTGGTAAATAAATTATTTATTTAGATTCAGAATTGAGTTCTAGAGTTATACAATAATTTTAGGCAGCTCCTGGTGCTCTTAACCCCTGGATTGTCCACACACTAACACCTGAAACTAGTTTTAAGTACACTTTAGGCAGCTTAAAGTTATGCCACTCCAAGGTGGCATAATCACTGCCACTATGATGCTCTACTTGTGCATCATAGTTCAGGGTAGGTTTATCTCTGAACCATGTTACCCAGCTTATGTTTCATTAAGCCAAGGCTGGGCTATTATTTGGGTCTGCAGGCCACATAGGCAGTTCTGAGGAGCTACCATTGACTGGACACCACCACTCTCCCCGCAACAGCTTGGAGCCTATGTGCTCTGTGGCTCCTCCCCACCACTGCCAACACTGCACAGCCCCAGCTTCAACCCAGGCCTGCACTGTGCCAGCTCTGGACTCACTCTGGCCTGAGTGGACCAGCCGGAACCCACATGCACAGCCCCACCCCCGCCCGCCCTGTGCCTGTTCCAGATCACCTACCCACACTGAACTGCTGCCCAGCATGGGGGAAAAGCGGCCCCTCCCCCTCACTGCTGCTGGGCCCTTCTTGCTGAAGCTGCCCAGAGCCCATGCCTGGACTGCCCTGTAGCTCCTTTCCACCACTGTTACCATCACCTCCAGGCCATACAGCAGGGCAGCGGTGGCAGTGCAGAGGAACTGCAGGGTAGCTCAGGCATGGGCTCCGGGTAGCTTCAGCAAGAAGAGTCTGACAGCAGTGAAGGGGACGGGCTGCATTTCCTCTGTGCCAGGCAGCAACTTCTGCCAGCTGGCTCTGCTGCTGCTGCTCAACAGGGGCAGGCGAGTCCAGAGCAGGTGCAGGGACGGCTGGGGTCAGAGCATGGTATTGTTGGTGCAAGTCCAACAATACCATGGGGCTGGGGCCAGCAGAAGTGGCAGTTGGAAGAAGCTGCTGCAGCCTAGGCTGCCTAGAAAGGCAGTCCAGCTGCGGAGCCGCCCCAGCCTGCTGTGTGCCCAGGGGGTGGCGGGATGCACCACAGGCCAGATGGTGCCTGGGCTAGGCGGGACTGAGAGACCCGCTGTGGGTCAGACAAAGTCCCTCCTGTAGGCCATATTTTGCTTACCCCTGCGTTACGGTATGGCCAGACTCCACAGATGAGCTGTCCAGGTTAGTCCTTGAATATCTCAGGATGCAGTGTTCCCTCCCCCCATCCGCCTGTGTGGACTAACTTTTCACCCACTGAACTGCAGAAAAGGACCTGGGGATTACAGTGGACAATAAGATGAATATGAGCCAGCAGTGTGCACTTGCTGCCAAGAAAGCTAATAGTATGCTGGGCTGTATTGGTAGGTGTGTTGCCAGTAGGTCAAGGGAAGTGATTATTCCCCTCTGTTCAGCACTGGTGACGCCATATCTAGAGTACTGTGTCCAGTTTTGGGTCCCCTACTACAGAAAGGATGTGAACAAGTTGTAAAGCATCCGGCGGAGGGCAACAAAAATTGTGAAGGGGTTGGGGGACATGACTTATGAGGAAAGACTGAGGGAACTGGGCTTGTTTAGTCTAGAGAAGAGAAGACTGAGGTGGGATTTAATAGCAGCCTTCAACTATGTGAAGGCTCAAAAGAGGATGGAGTTAGACTGTTCTCTGTCTTGGCCGATGACAGAACAAGGAACAACAGTCTCAAGATGCAGCAAGGGAAGTTTAGGTTAGATATTAGGAAGACTTTTCTCACTAGGAGAGTAGTAAAACATTGGAACAGGTTACCCAGAGGTGGTGGAAGCTCCATCCTTGGAGGTTTTCAAAGCCTGGCTAGACAAAGCCTTGTCTGAGATGGTCTAGTTGGGGCTGGTCCTGCCTTGAGCAGGGGGTTGGACTAGATGATCTCCTGAGGTCCCTTCCAACTGTAACTTTCTATGATTTCATGAACTCTGTGGCCTAGGGGAGTGGTTCTGGCACCAAGCCAACTTCTCCTCCCTCCCCCAGGGGTGTGACTTTCCTATCCCCAGGAGCGCAACCCTGTGCAGAGCACATGGCAGCTATCCAGGTTGCAAGGAACAGACAGATCTAGGAGTGGGGGTCTCTGAGAAGTGGTGGGGGAAAACAAGGGAGGAGGCCATATTGGGTTGCCATGAGCTGAGGCTTCCTTTCTGGGACAGAGGCAGTAGCTCCCCAAAATATGCCTCCTTTCACCGTCCCCCCCTCCAAGCCACCCCAGGAAGCACAACCAGCATCCCCATACCCCAATTCCAAATCCCAGTGTATTAAAACATGAGACCTTCTTTAATTTACTTACTCTTTCTTTTTAAATCCTTTTTTTCCTTCTTTTTATTGTAACCTTCAGTGGCTGATTTCTTTCATTTTACCTCCCTTCCCCTACCCCCATTTCCTTTCCACCTCCCATTTCATTGCCCACCCCATTTCATTAACTCTCCACCTACCAGCTTCATGTTTCTGACCCCTCCGACCCATTTCTCACCCCCCCCCCGAGAAGGGATGTCCTGGCTTACCAGTCCTGTAGTGGCAATTCACAGCTGTACTCTTCATCAGGCCCCTGGCCACCAGCCCTTTAGTAGCACAGCCGTGTATGTGGGGGACAGTCAGAGCAGGTTTTTAACCTTAAAGTGCGACTGCTCCAAACTTCAGCTAGTGCTAATACGAATCAGCATTTGAGCAGCTCACAGTGCAGTGTGTAAGAGGTTCATTTGTAATTAGGTATTTCCTTTTTGCTCAATAGACAACTCAACTGTTTAAATATATTAAAAAAGGCATTCATCTCTTCTTATAAATATACTGTTTGGTCATAAAAACCCTAAATAGCAGTTCTCAGTTATGGATATTTAAGGTAAAGTTTTCTTTCTGACTTTAAGAAGAAAAAATACATGTAAAAATGATTTACTAAGCATAGTTCATAGTTCAACCTCACCCTAGGTTATAGTTTTTAATTAATATAATGTTCCTATGTTGTTTTTTCTCAGCATGTTTCCTTACTTTGACTGAAAGGTGACAGAGGCAAAGTTGTGTTTTTGAGATTTTTGGAGTAAAAATGTACAAAAATAACTTATTTTATGGAAAGTTTTACAAGAAAATCTTTTCACAAATCATGTTGAATTCATCCTTCAGTTAAGAAGAAAAAGATGTCAGAATGTAAAGAGAAATGGGAAGTGACTCTAGATGCCCTTGCTGTTTTGGTGTCAAATACAACAAATGCCCACATCCTGGTCCGAAAGAAGATAAGGGCATATTCTAGGCCCAGGGTGAAATCCTGATCCAGGGAAATTAATGCAACAACTCCACTGATTTCAACAGGCTCAGGATTCTACCACTTGTCTGCATGTACTCCACAGCTCTTTCTTTCTTCAATCTTGTTCTTCTCATCTGACAAGAGGGCACAGAAAGATTGCTGGTTCACTGTCTTGTCTATTGTACAAGTCTCTTTTGATACATTAAGACTTTGATTCTGCATCAGGATGTGCTAGTGCAGACCTCTGTGCATTGAGTTCCACTCAGGTCCAAGTTAAGGAGAAAAGTTAATGTCTGAGTTAGCACTGTGTTGGACATGATACAACACAACTGTTTAACCTGATAATTGAAGCATCATACATCAGCATAGTCAACAGCATTTCAAACCATGGTGACTCCACAGCTCAGCATTGCACAGTATGTGTGTATATACTACAGATACCACCCCCACAAAGGATCTGTGTGCTCCCCTCGCATGACTAGAACTGGGTGTTCTTGTCATGAGTCCTGGGATCCTCCAAAAATGTATATGTAAATGAGGTGCAGAGCCACCTGATCTGGTTCCACCTCATGGAGGGCCAGGCCATACTAATCATATGCCACTGTCTTAGAGAAGGGGCGACAGATGGATTATGGGTGAATGGTTTGGGACCCTGTTTGGTGACATACGCTATACATTTAAGGCTGATGAAGAAATAGGAATAATTGGAAATGGAAATGAAAGGCGCAGCTCAGCTATGGGAGTAGAGGAAGTTGGTATTCAATGCTATGGCTTACCATGACTTGAACAAGAGTTGGCACTGATGGAAACTGCACTTAATGGGCACTACCATATATTTTATTCAGATCAGTTGTACTAACTTATCCTTACAGTAGGCTCCCATCAGTTTGTACTTTGTAGTCGTGGTCAGTGTTAGCTGTATTTAATCAACTTCATGCTTGCTTTCTATTGCAGAGCACAAGCTGCTTTTAGCAGCAGTTTAAACATATACAGTATCATTAATATGGTTTTCTTTTATGTGAATGTAAGACAAGAGGCTTTTTCCCCCAATGCTGATTGTAGGGAAAAACCTTGTCTTGTATCTGAGTAAATATGGCAATTGAAAGAATATAGGCTACTTTGAGCCTTTCTGGTTAGGGCAGGATGTGAGCCTAAATAATAATAATATAGAATATGGACCCCTAATTCTGAGTGAGGTCTGCAAACCCCCCATCTACCTGTGTAGGCACCAGAGAGTCTGTAGGCCCCCATTTGGGTCAGTAGAGTTACGTGGGTACCTAAAGTTATTCTACTGTATGCATCCAGAAACTTAGCTGAGCAGGACGTCTAGGTATCTGTCTTGCACCAAAATCTGTTTGGGATTCATGGAGTGGGCATCACTGGGACTAAGTCACTAAGGGGTCAGATCAAGTAGGTGTGTTTGGAGTGTGTTTAATACAACAGCATTGAGTTCATCACAAAACACAGCAGTCATAACTGTTTCATTAAAAAATATGGCCAGTGGTTGTAGTATCCGAATGTTATATGGTAACTTAATGGCTAGAACATTTCCCTGGAAGTCGGAGACCCACTTTCAAAGCCCTCCTTAGCTTGAGGGGGTTCAAACATACAGCTCTCACCTTTCAGGATAGTGCCCTAACCACTAGGAAATGGATTAGGGTGAGTGGAGACAGTCTACAGCCCTCCTAATGAAGCTGGACCATTGTGAAAAGAAGAATTTAAGATTCATGGGGCCAGAACAGAAGCCAGCAAGCATTCCACAATTCTTAGAGCATGACTCTAGGCTAGTGATGATGGCAGCCCCTGATGGCAGGGGAGAACTATGTCCTGGGTCTTGTTCCTAACAGTGTTTACTATTTTATTCAGTGACAGATTCAAGATGCTCCAGACCTGGGAGCAAGGATTGGAACCCATGACCCTCTTTTCAGGGAACTGTCCTCAGGCTTAGAGAGTCATGTAACTTCTTGCACATGCTCTTTCTCTTCCTTTTATGCTCTCTTGCATGCACGCTGTCTCTCTCCCCCATTTGTTTTTGCATTCCTTCTATCCAGTTTCACAGCTTCAACAGGAGGATGCTGAGGAAAATGCCAACATCTCATCCAGATCTCTAGCATTCTCCTAGAAGCTGGTAGCTTTCTTTGAATCTGATTAGGCTGAGGAGTACATAGAATCTAGGTCTCCAACTTCCTAGACAAGCACTCTAATGAATAGATTGGACTTCTCCTCCTCCTCCTCCTCCTCGTTGGCAGCCTTGCTTTGAAAGAAAAGTGTGATCCAGTTGTTCATACATAAAGACATAATTTAGGTTCCTGTGACTAAAAGAGGGTTCCAGGTCATGCAATCTAGTTTCATGTTCAGGGCTGCAGGTAGGCCCCCAAGCCCATGGCAGGTAAGATTTCTGATCAACCCATTTTTTGGAGTTTCCTGCTCACTAGACTAGGTGTGTTGGTTGTTTTTAATTTTTTTTTCCCAAGCATTGTAGTACCTGGGTCTCCATTCATCAATAGAAAATTTGGATACTTAACGTGGGTTTGTGAATTCCACACCAAAAACTAGGTGCCTAAAAGAAGACAGGGCAGAGCGGCATCTTATAGACTAGGGGCGATCAACCTCCAGCCCCCGGGCTAAATGTAGCTTGTGGAGTCGTGGCATCTGCCTCACGGGATTGGGAAATTTGACACCAGGAAAGCAGTGGCAATTAATGCCACCACTCTCACCCACTGCCAAATTTTCAAGCCCTGAACGGCAGATAGGAGCCAGGCTATGTTCCTTTCCTCTCACTGGATCAGAGCTGGGCCGTGCTTTCTTCCCACCATGCGACTGGATCTGGGCTGGGCTGCCCCCCAGCTTCCTCTGGACACAGGATGGGGCCTCTCTGTGCTCCCCTCAGGCACTGGATCAGGATCACCAGTCAGATCCAGCCCATGGATGGACTGGGCACTGCCCCTCCGGCCTGCCAAGCAAAAAGTTAGAGCACCACTGTTACAGACTAATTTAGCAAGTCATAAGTTTTCATAAGTGACAACTTACTTTGTCAGGTGCTTTCTTCATCATAGCATCTGTAAGTTGTTCCTTACACAAGCTTATGCCTCTCTGAATTCATTAGTCTAAGGTGCTACTCTACCTTCTACCTGACTTCACACTAATATAGCTAACTACTTCTTCCTAGGTGCCTAAAAGTTTAGCATTACATTGCTGAGCTTTGTCAACCCTTTGTGTCCCATTATGGATCTGATCTTTAGTGCAAACTGTTTTCCTATGCAGATGCCAGTAAGTGAATTCAAAAGAACTTTGCTTTGAAGAAATAGCTGTACTTTTCTTGAAAAACAAATTTATAAATGAGATATAATATTTTTTTCATGCTCCCATTTTCAGGGCTGCAGTCAAAACTCGGAAGGCCAGCATTCTCTGAAACACTTTCAGACATCACACACAGAGCCTCATTGCATTGTGGTAAATCTCAGCACATGGATCATATGGTAAGATGGTGTAGGGGGTGTTTGTATATGTAATTCTGAATGATATATATTTCTCTATTAAATAAACATTTCAGCTTAAATAAAGTGCTGTTTCTGAGAAGAAATTACACAGGTAGCTATGATGAACATGTCATATCATTCTGTATGAAGAAAAAGGAGGATCTTTGAAGATTAGAAGTTCTTTCTTGTACCTCCTTTAGTCCTCAGAACCATACAGTGTTCCTTAGAATCCTGAGATCAGTCAAAAACAAAGTAAACTCATTTCCAGTCTCTTTGGTTCATGTGAATGAGATCTACCTTACTTTTCTTTCTTCCTCCTTCCTTCTTTTCATTTCATACCAAAAATGGACCTCTTTTCATTGTACAGCATTCTTCTGCAACCTGCACATTTCTTCAGCATGGAGTACATGTAACTGTGTTCCATTAATGTATGTTTATGAGCCCAGCCTGTAAAACTGGAAGATCCTGATAATACTGTCAGATTATAGCTAAGTGCTGAATCAAAGAGAGGTAATAAATGTAATTCTATGCAACTATTTAAACTGGAGTATTTTACTAATAGTTTTTTTCCCTTTATGCTTTTTCTAGTGAGGGCATTGCAGCTTTTTCTTGCCAGTTTCATGCCATTAGTTAGCCCTTCGGGATATGGCTTTTTTCTGATGGAAAAATACATTGCATGCCTTCTTCTGAAACACCAAGGCCACCTTTTTGGCACGCGTGTCACAAATTAGTCCTGTAGCCTCCCCAAGTGCTGCTACGATCCCCTTCTCCTCCTCAAGTTGTTCTGTTTTCTGTTCCCAGCCCTATGCTCCCTACCCAATCTATTGTTCCTTCTTCTTCCTTTTCTGTGTTCCCTGTCCAACTTGCTGCTTTGCTTTCTGATTCCCACCCTGTCTACCACTGTGTTGCCAGTCCTCCCTCCAATCTGCCACATGCCACAGATAAAGGCCACCTGTGTCATTTGGGGCACCCATGCTGTAGGTTGGCTACCCCTGTTCTAAAACAGGGCTTTCCAAGTTCTGGGTAGTTGGGGGCTGCATGCTACGAGGGCTGCACACCTGGGGTCTTCATGCCACACAGGCAGGCAGACGCTCCACCCAACTCTCCCCTGCTGTGCAGCACAGACAGCCCAGCTCCTGCCTCTGTACACACAGCACTCCCTCTCCCAGCTGCATGCAACATGTACCTGCAGTGGGGGCAGCTGGGCTCCTGTCTTTGCCATCTATGCAGCTTGGACACTCCAGCTCCCTCCCAGCCACTAGGGTAGAAGCGACGGGAAGCAGGGGGAAGTGGTGGACAGGTGGGAGCTTGTGGGCTGCATACTAACCCTTCAGGGCCACACAGCTTGAGTCTGCCAGTTGGACAGCCCTGTTCTAGAAGAAAATGTGTTAGTCTTTTTTATGAAAGGCAGGAAAGACAACAGGCCAGTTACATTAAATCATTTCTACTAATAGAGATTTTGTTCTCTACTCACACTTCATTATAAGCGGTATCACACTAAATTTGATTAATTTGCTGTATTAGATTGGTTAGAACATTTGGGGATGTTTCTGGAATGGTTACTTATTACTTTGACTTGCACACAGAATACAGTTTTGTAACGTCCCCCATATTGCCACAAGAAAGGATACCAACCACTTAGATTAGGGGTTGGCAGCCTTTTGCTGGCCATGGCTATGGGTTGAAAGTCTCTGCCCCTCAGCTCCCTTGCCCATCAGCAGCCAGCTGCCTGCACTCGCCTTCGCCACAGATACCCAACCGCCCTGCAGTAAGGGCGCAGATGCTGCAGAGCAGCAGGCTGCACAGTGGAGAGAAGCGGCTCCATGCCACCAATCCTTCATGCTGGCTCAGACCTCTTTGTGGGTCAGATCCAGCTTGCACGCTGGAGATTACTGACCTCTGGCTTAGACACAGCTTTGCAGAACTGACTGGTCTTGGCCATAGTGTTTGTTTTCTTTTTTGCTTCTAGCTTCTAAATTCAATTTGAAGCAGCAAGTAAATAAATACATAGATTTCTACCAGAATATACATTTTCTATGTTAGTAATTGCTTTGGTTATCTATTAAATGTTTTGTTGTGACAATTAAGATAAAGGTGAAATAAGTCCATGAGACAGTTTTGCTACCAGACTGTAATGCACATAAATGAAAAGGCATGAGAACCTCTGACATAAGATATGTGAATATAACCTTTAACAATAATCAAGTAGTTTTTCCCTTTTCCCCAATTTAAGTATGAAACTAGCAGTAATAAGATTTGACATGAGTCATTTACAGTGATAAAGGAAAGTAACATTGAAAATACTATTTAAGCGGCGGGGAGGGGAGGTTTGCTTTGTTTTGTTGGGGCAGAAAATAGACGAAATGGAAATGGATGAAAGCGTGTAAAACAGTGTCTGCATACAGTAGGTATGAACTATTCCAACCAGGAGATCTTATAACATCTTCACCTCTCCTGTGAAGTACTAATTCTCATTTCCACCTAGGAGAAATTTTACAATCTTTCATTCTCCTATGCCTGAGGAAGGGTGTGTGCGCCCGAAAGCTTGCAAATAAAGAATTTTTTTTTGCAAATATCTAGTTGGTTTATCAAAAGATATAATCTCTGCCACAAGTTTTGATTTCTTTTGGCTGTACACTAATATGACTGCAACCTGTGTCCCATTTCAGCTGTGTGCGCCCATGTATACACACACGCATGCTCACCAGAGAGAAAAATTCCTTCTCGACCCCAGGTTTGGTGATTGATGTGGCCATGAGCAAAAAAGTAAGATCCTCTAGCCAGGAACCTCTGAGGTTTCTAAGTATTTTCAGGGAAACCAGTCAATTCAGTCAAAGCCCCCAGTTTACTGGCTCTGGCCAGCACCCAGTAATTACGGGGCGGTGGAATAAAACTCTAGAAGTCAAAAAAGTATTCATGAAAGAGGAAAAGTAATTCTTTCTAGGTCACTGGTGATAAGCAAAAGTTGCAAAGTATGGTATTAAGAGGCAACTGGGACAGTGGGAGAGTAACTTTTCTATCCCAGCATGAGGGTTGCAAATACTTGAATCCACATCCAGCACATTCTGAAAATATGAAAGAGAACTCCGTGCCTCAGAGCTCATAATTTTTGGCATCAGTGTATTTACAATGTATATAATTCTGCATGTGAGCAGGTCCATTGATTTTGATTGGTTCTATTTATGTAGTAAAATTGCCCAGGTGTGACCTCAGGATTAGAGCCTAACTAGACAAGATATCAGACAGTGAGAGAAGAGAAGTTAATACTCATTGGTATATACTGCACTTTTGCTTTTTGGTATCTCCTTACAGCTAGGGAACTGAAATGCTAATATTGAACGGTTTGCTCAAGTTTGTTAGATCTGGGAAATGAACTCACATTTCCTGATTCTAATCTGTTTCCTTTGCTTGTTTGTTTAGGTGTTATGAATGTGATGAAGAGCTGTCTACCCATTGCAACAAGAAGGTTTTGGCTCAGATAGTTGACTTTCTTCAAAAGCATGTTTCCAGGACTGAACCTAGTAAGTTATAACAATCTTTATGTAGAAGTAGCTGTAATTGCTGCTGTGCTCTAGAAAGAACATTTTTAAAGTCTGGTTCATATTAATGAAGGTGGCAAACAAAGAATGTTGTATAACACAGCTGGTGGTCTTGCACAAAAAAAAGTCTCTCAGTTGTTTCTAAACACACTATTTTGCTTCTAGAAATGTTATTGCTTTTGAAAAAAAATACTTTGGGCACTGGAGGGAATTCCCTAAAATTCCACCTTTAGAAGTCTATATGTTAGTTTGTGACGAAGACAATTTTACTTTCGTACTGAGGGAGGATAGATGAAAGTACTTGGTAAATTGACTATATTATTGAAATTCATCACTAATTGGTTGAGTTTTTGTAATGCAAATCAACTTTAATTTGTGTTGTTACATATATTTTATTTTAAATTATATTTATACAATCATGTCTTTAAATACTTGTTACTATTTGTTTGTATATAGTGCTTTTGGTCCATTGACTCATGTGAACTTATCTGAGATGATGCTTACTTTTGCTAACAGTTACCAGGGTTGGGACATAAGAAAGTAGTTAACGTCTCTTCCTCATTGTACCTATATAATGGAGATAATAGGATAATTGGCCTTCACTAGTCCCTTTTGAAAACAGGGATGAATAATGCAAGGACTAACACAAGGCTTGGCTGCAGCATTTCAATGTGTTGGGGCTGTATTCGATTTCATAGAAGTATGACTTTGTTGGTGGGGTGGGGAGGACACACAAATGCATTGCATTGTGCATTTCCAGCAGAGAATAGCTGTATAAGGTGGTTAGAGATAGGATTGAAATTTTGTACTCTTAATGAAGAGCAACTATATGCTCCCCACTATGCACCCTAAATGCTGTTAGTTTTAATGATTACTACATGCTTTTCAGCTAGAAACCTGTGATGGTCTTAGGTTTGAAACTTATGGTTTTAGACAGCAAAAATCCATGCTTTTAGAAAACAAATTTTACCTCAATTACAAATTGAACCCTAGTTATTACATTTTTAGAATGTAAACCTTCATCATGATTTTACTTTTTGCATTTCTCTGATGTGGAAGAAAGAAAATAGAGTATTCCATCCCACTATTATTTATACTTTCATTTTCAGTTTCTTTTGTCCTAGTGCAGTGATTTTTCCAGAGTGCCAAACAATCTTATCTTTAGCAGACGTGCAAACATGATTCATAGGATAACCCCAGAGATTTCAAGGAGGAATCCATAGTATTAAAAACTTTATGAACTATTGTGGTCTTTCTGATTTATTTGCAACAGAAGAACTGCTCTGCTGTTTTTCTGTAGTCAAAAAATGAGTGGAAACCAGGAGCTGGCATTTTCCTAGTGGGGCACGAGTCAAGTGAGCAATGCCTGGCCTATGAAGGGGTGTCTGGAGTCTAAAAAAGTTGAGAACCACTGACCTTGTGAACTGCTGTGGTATTTTGATTACATATTTTTATTTTAATACTGTAATATTTATTTCAAGTAATTTAATGGGAATTAATTCAGTTTGTTTCAGAAATGCTTGTTTTACCAATTTTGGCTAAAAATTTCAGGAATGATTGTGATTCTGGATGCCACAGATATCATGTTCTCAATTTGAAATACTTTTGAGAAATGTGGAGGTTTGAGAGTATGGGTGGTCTGTACTTTCTGACAGTTAAGAACATGAATAACATCTGCCATTAGCTAGGTCAGGCTATAGGTTCACCCTGCCTGATATCCGGTATCACACAGTGGGGAGACCCGTAGGGACTGTGGGTCTGTTTTCCTATTCCTGGTCCATTAATGCATTTGGGCAGAATTTTACTGGGCAGTGCCCACTGACTCCATGGATTCATTCAAGGGCCAGTGGGCACTTGCTGGTCTACTCTGCTCAGTGTGCCCCCTTGGTGCACTCATTTTGAACTTTTGACTTTCACTCCTGTCCCTTTTTTGTTTTGTATTTTTCCCAAGAGATCAGTGATGTGCCCTTAGCAGCCCCCCTCATCGAGAAGGACTTATAGCTCTACTTGGTATTCTTTGGCCCATGTTCTGGAACGGCACATCAAAAGGCCTGTGTCACACAGTGCCAGAGCAGCTGAAAGGGAAAGTGGACAGTATATGACCGGAGTTCTTTCCACAGTTCCTCTCCCACTTGTAGCCTCCAGCATTTAAGGTCCAGGTAGTTCTGAATTCGGAGGCTGTGCCCCTAACTCTCATGCTCAGTACTGATGCACCTTTCTTCCAAGAATTTGTCTAATCCTTTTTTTTAAATCTGGTTAAACTGTGAGTTTCCACAACACCTGGTGGCAATGAGTTCCACACTTTAATTACACACAGTGTGAAAAAGGACTTCCTTTTGTTAGTTTTAAACTTACTATCTACTAGTTTCATTTTGTGACCCCCTAGCTCTTGTATGGTCAGAGAGAGTGAATAATAAATTCCTATTTACTTTCTCTTCAGTTGGTTTCCTTTGAGAGACCATAAACGGAACAACCAAAATCCCCATTTGACTTTCAAAATGTTGATGTTTGTTAGCTTAAGGTAGTCCCGATTATACCTTTTTAAAGGGCCAGAAATTCATAGTAGAGCTAGCTGAATTTTTTTCAGTGCATGCTAAGTTTACTGAAAAATGGAATTTGGAGGGATAAAAATATTTAAGAATTTGGGGTGAATTAGTGAATAATTTTAGCTGAAAAATCGAGGTATATTTTTAAAATGTATATCAACTCTTTCATTTTTGGGTTGGAGTAAGGGTTGGAGCTGCAGCTGCTGCCTGCCCCTCCGTTGCCTTTATTCACCCATCTGCCCTCCCCCCAGCATTGCCTCTGCCCCCTGCCCTCCACCACATGTGGTTGCTCTGTCCCTATCCTGGCCCAGTAGCAACAGTAATAGCAGCATTGGCAGCAGCTCCAGCCTGGGGTCCCTCTCTAAAGCAGCAGCAACTGCTGTGTGGTCAAGCTGGGGCCAGAGCAAGTATGTGCTCTGTGTCCCAAGGTGGAGCAGGGCCAGAGCCATACAGTAAGCGGTGGGGTGGGGTGGGGGGGCAGGCCCTATGGAGGGGAGCAGTGGCCCACAGGCACAAGCTGGGTGGTGGGCAGGGGGCAAGGTGTCAAGGGGCAAGTGTCAGGGGTTAGGTTGCTTGCCTCACCCTACCGCCTTCCTCCCCCACTGCCTGCCTCCACATCACTTACCACCTGCCACTGTTTTTCCCGCTGCAGTGTTGGGGGGTACAGCTGTAAGTGACCCTCTGATAATCATCCCAACCGCCCCTTCCAGGTTCTTTCGCACTTTTTTCAGACCTCCCCCTCCAAAGATTTGCTGGTTTGTGTTAATTGGGAAGAGGGACCAAGTTCTGCCATGGGCAACATTCAACAGGTTTTCTTTATTGAACACAAGAAACGTTTAGCATCTGCTACATTTTAACCTGAAACACATTGCCTCCTCGTGCACCCTGCACCCCAGTGTGTGCCCCTGGGGAGAGTTGAGCAGGGGAAGGGAGACCAAGCCAGACCAAGGGGAAGGTCTGGCTTTTGGGCAGCACTGCCCAGGACGCAGGGTCAAAGGAGTCTGGGGCAGGGAACCCATGGCTTGGTGCTAGGGCACAAGCCTTCAAATCTGTCCAGCCCTACTCATCTGGGGAGGGCTCCCAGTTTTTAACGGTGAGGAGATAGTTGGCCAGGGCTTTGCAGATCTAGACTGCCTGCCACTGTTGGAGGCTGGCATCCCCAGCATCAGCAGGGTGCTTACCCTGTTCCCTATCTGTGCTATGTATGCCTGAGCTGCCATGCCCAGACTGTGCACTTTGTCTCCTCATCCAAGGCTTCATGGAAGACCTCCCACTTGCCCTCCCCCCCACCCTCCCGCCCCCCAGGTCTCTCAGATGTTGTGGAGGACACATGCAGCGACAATGAGTCATGTCAACCCTGAGCACATTCCACTGTCATGTGGCACTAGCTTAGGCAGTAGTTAAAGTGTTCCTTCTGTCCATCCAGCTGCCCCACCATAAGACTTCAGCAGCCAGGGCACGAGGGATAAGTCAGGTTCCTGACAATGGGGAGGGGGGTGGGAATGATGATGTCATGGATGATGAAATGGGGATTCCAGGAGCGTAGTGTCGGAGATCAGAGCAGCGCCGGCAGCTGCTTTCTGACCCCCCCCGACCAGAGCAGTAAAACTTTCGCCCTGACAGGCGGGTAATTAATGGATGGAGTAGAATTAAACAGGCACAGACGCGTGTTGGTTGCAGGAGATTGTTTACTTACGTCGCCCAGATAGTGATGTGCGACGCAGGCAGAAGGCTTGCGTTGTTTGCATTCGAGCGTGTGTCTCAGGTTACAATCGACCGTGTGACGAGATACCGTGAACGACCGGACGAGCCTGCAGGAGGGTTAGGGTACGTCGGGACCGCGATGACGGGGAGTGGTTAGTGGTTGATCAGACCACTAAGTTACTCTGGTGCGTGTGTTCAGAGTTCTCCGATTAGAGCGGAAGTGCAAGCTGGTTTTGTTTACACAGTGACCAATTGATTTAAGCCACGTCATCTGGTTTGTGTCCGAATCTCCAATTATACAGCAGTTTTCGCTAGGGATTTATGGCAGGGGGATTCCCCTTTCCCCCGGCCCGTCTTTACGTTTGTTT